GAGAGAGAGAGAGAGAGAGAAAGAGAGAGAGAGAGCGAGAGAGAGACAGAGAGAGAAAGTGAGAGCGGATCGGACGCAGTCTTGACGAGATGAAAGAAGAGATATTGTAATTTTTTTAAAGAGATGAAGTAGCATTTTCAACACTCGTATACGTAAATAATCACGAGAAATACATTCGAAATCAGACGAAGCAGTAATCTGTAAAACGATAATCAACGAACAACTTTCTCGTTTGGAGAATGGCAACGCCCCTTGTTACGAGATAGTTCCAAGCTCTTCAGAAGGCCACAAAGATAACCAGTGTTATAAAATGTAGTGTTTCGTAATGCAACTAATATTTATTAGCCATGCATATCTTATCATGCACAAAATCCTGTTCGTTTATGTGCCCCTTCCTTCGTTTTCGTGTTTTTAAATATATCGCATAGTATTGTGTTTATTCTGATCTCCTGTTTTTGAAATATTGTAGAAATAAGTGAACTATGTTGTTATTGCTCCCAATGACGATGGAACTATTTCTTTTGTTGTTATGACTGTTGGTGGTGTTGTTGTTGTTGTTATTAGTGTTGATGTTGATGTTGTTTGGCTTCCGTTTTGTTCCTATTCTTTGTTGGCTGTTGGTTGTTTTGTTTTGTTGGAATTTTGAAAAGTTCATTTTCTATTTAATATTAATTAAGTGATGTGTTTATTTGTTTGGGGTTTTTTTAAAATTGTTTTTCTTGATAATTTTTTTTCAAACGAGATATTGGATATGTTATATATTTGCCATGTGGGGTGTTTTTTGTTGTTTTTTTCATTTTGGGGTGAGGGGGGGGGCGAGGGAGATTTTTTTATCGGATGGGTGAACTTGTATTATTTTGGGGGACAGGGGGTTTTCTTTTTTGCTATAGATGTATATGCACAGATTTTGAAAAATTCAAAAAGACAGCAGTTAATAATGCTCCTACTTCAGAGGCAAAAGCAAGGGATGTTCGTTTCGGTGACTAAGCAAACTTCTAACTTTAGACGTTACGTCATGTTTTGCCTCCTTTTTATGTTTTTGTTTTTAAAGAAAGGTTAGTGTTTGCTTTGGCAGCGCTGCAAAGGGCTATAGCAAGAAGTCATAACGTCCTACTTTTAAGGGTCATAGCTGGTTTTGTTTTCGAAAGTCGGTGTCTCTTTTTCGTTTTCGTTCCTGACGGTATCTAAGAGTTGCACCGAAGTAGCTTGCCCCACCTTGATACGTAGGGGGGAAATCTGACCCGCAGGGCGATAGCGAGGTAGATAATGTGGTGAGGATGAGTTTTCTTGTGTAGGGATGAGAGAGATGGGGGTGAGAATGAAACTTGGGGAGAGAGAGAGAGAGAGAGAGAGAGAGAGAGAGAGAGAGAGAGAGAGAAGAGAGAGAGAGGGGGGTGAAGGGAGGGGAAGGATAGTGAGGGGGGGGGGGAAGATGCTTAAAGACAGAAACGGAGGCAGAGAAAGGAGAGGGAAAAGCGAGAGAAGGATGTGAAAGACAGCCAGAGAAAGAGATAGAGAGATAAAGAGAGGAGGGGGAACGTGAACGAAAAAAGGAGCGAGGGTGAAAGGCGCATACATGAAAAGAGGGACAAACATGGAAACAAAGAGAGAGGCAGAGAAAGGAGGAGTTCGTAAAGAGAAAACAGTAATACAGGGCACCCGCAGACCACCCGCAGACCACCCGCTTTCACTCTGCTCCTTTGTTTTCTTGTTCCTTCTTTTGTCCTGTTACTATATTGTTATAGACCGTACTTGCTTGCTTCTTAACTGTCACGGGGAACTTTCAGGTTGAGAGAGGCTGGATTGTGTCGATAGTGCCGTAAAACATCTACCCAATCAATCCAAAAAAAAAGAGAGGCTGGAGAGCTCCTTTAGTTGCTTCCACTTATTACCCTTCCTTTTTCTTCCTCAGCTGTTTCTGCCTGCTTGTATTACTTTACCCTTCGCTCAATTACCTTCCTACTTCTGTACTTTACCTTTACCTTCCTACTTCTGTACTTTACCTCTGCTATTTCAGTATGTCTGGCTGCCTGGCTGGCCGTCATACTTTTCCCCAGCACTGACTCTTGTCAGGTTATTGTGCTTCTATTTACTCACATAAACAAATAAACTAAACGATTGACGTCTAGTCAATTTCTTTTTTGATGAAACGAACAAAGGGAACAGATCACAACCTACTCCCACTCCCCCCCCCCCTCATTAAAAAAAGATTTATAAAATGACTTTCGTGAGTCAGGGGCGCTCTGAATTACCAACCACGAAAACAGCTATAACAACAACCACAACTACATCAACCACAAATTGACAAACACCAACAACCATAACACCAACCAGAACAACAACCCCAAAATCCAAAACAAAATATTATGTAATAACAACGACAACAACCCTTATTATTATTACTGCGTCTGTTCCTGACAAAATGTACCCGATACCACGCCCACTCACAGCTAGTTAGTGGGTGGTTGGCGGGTGCTCTGGTGTGGTTTGCTCCTTCTTTCCTATCAAACACCTATCGTCTTTATCTCCCCCTCCTTCTTTTTTATGTTTGTTACTCTTGTAACACCTCTAATCTTCTGGCGCACATTTTAATGCAGTTGCGAGCACCATAAAACTTCTAGATTCTACTAAAACTAAAACTAAACAGCTAGTTACACCTCACCTCAACATGTTAGTTTTAACTAGCCTAGAAAATGTTGCGTCATGAAATACATCTTCCCCATTCATGTGCTTGGGATTTCTTTTCTTCTTTTTTTCTTCTAAATGGCGAAATTTTAAAAATCTATTTTTTTAAGTATTGAACTTTTTATATTATATTCTCCTGTGATCCCATCCTTGAGCTTACCAGGAAGTTTTCACCTCTCGTAGGGCATTCACCTTCTTCAACAAAAGCATTGCCAAATGAGGAAGCTTCCTTTTTTTATTCAATTCAATTTTATTATTTTTATTAGAGTTTCAATTTGTGTCTAGATCTAGATATCTACGATGAAATGAATTCAACACTGACAAGAAGACAATAAAGAGATTGCAAAAGAAAGTAGTTGTTATTTTTAATAATATTCTCCTCCGTTACAAGAGCCTTTTTGGAAGATTTGTTCATATATCAAATCGCCATTGTCTGAAATCTGAGATTAGTTTTAATTGATCATTGGAATAGAAATTGGGTTAGAGAGAGAAAGATAGGTGGGGAGTTTGTGGGGGGGGGAGGTTGAGGGAAGACAGAAAGAGGAAGGGAGAGGGGGAGAGGGAGAGAGGGAGAAAGACAGAGAGA